CACCAAAGATTAAAATAAAACTCTTTTTTTTTTTTTTTTGGTCGGTTCGTGGGGCCTGAACTCTGGGCCTGGGCACTGTCCCTCAGCTCTTCAGCTCAAGGCTAGTGCTCTACCACTTGAGCCACAGCGCCACTTTCGGCTTTTTTTCTTTTTGCTTATGTGGTGCTGAGGAATCGAACCCAGGGCCTTGAGCATGCAAGGCAAGCGCTCTACCACTGAGCCACCTTCCCAGCCCTAAAATAAAACTCTTTTGAGCAACAGGGAAGACCTACAATCTTGTGCATATTCTACTACTTTGTAAGCCATTTTTACTTTATAAATTACCTAGTATAATTAGAATATCTAGCTCCTAGTTGGGCCTACAAATGGCTTTTTATATTCATGAATAATAGTCTTGATTTTTGCCTCATCTATAGGAAACAAGATTTGAAATATTTAAAAGCCAAATATCTATGAAAGTGCCTTTTCTACTTACAAAGCTGGGAAATAAAAAGACAGAATGTTGAATAAAAGCAAAGTAGTTATCAACTATTCAGTATAGCTAACAGAAGAAAATAGTATCTTATGTGTTTACTAGGCATTCGAAGAAAAATGCATGCTTGTGACCTTGTTTTCTCCATTGGTATATATTGTTTATTTTCTCCCTTTGTTTTTCTTTATTATTGGGTATAATATTAAAATAATTTAAAATTAAATGCTCAAAAACAGATTGGGAGAGAGTAAGGGAAAAGTATGCTTTATCTAACCTATATAATTGTAACCCCTCTATCCATCACCTTTATAGTAACAATAAAAAATCATGAAAAAACAGATTCTCAAAGTTATCAGTTACATTGCTAACAAGAATTCAGAAAGCTGGGTACCATTGGCTTATACCTGTATTTCAGCTGCTGGGAGAATGAGATTATGAGAATCATGGTTCAAAGTCAGTCTGCACATCCATGCAAGACTCCTTCTCAACCAATAGCTGGGTGTGGTAGCATGTGCCTGTAATCTCATCTGTGATGGGAAGCATGGAAGTGGAGGTATGGCTCAAGTGGTAGAACTCCAGTATTGAGCAGAAAAAGATAAGGTAAAGAACCAGGTCCAGAAATATTTCAGGACAGCAAGAGCCCATTTGAAAAAGAACTAATGTAAATAATCATCCGGAGGCATGACTTAACAGCAGGATGTCTGTGTAACAAATAAAAGGCTTGCAGAGTACCTTCTCCCCTGCCCCAAGACAGACTGACAAAAAGAAAAATAAATTTATGGACTAAATCCAATGCTTAGGCAATTTACAATTCCATTCATTGAACTTCTATAAGTTGTTAAGTTCTTTGACATTAATACCCTACAATCTTCATGTCAAAATAGAGCTTCTGTATAAGGAAAGAATAGATTGTGTGTGAGAAAGAATGCTCTGTATAGACTAGAAAGAAATCTTTTGTTAAAACCTCTTATAGTTGTAAAAGTTGACTGTTACTTTTATCGCTCAAAGACCTCATCATATAGGTAAGTTTAAGTATACTGGAGACAAAAGATGCAAATTAGGTTCCCATCGTTTCGTGTGAATTGTAACTTATGGAGGAAAAGCAAATGCATAATTCAGGTTTACTAGAAGCTATGTCACAACCTCCAAATTTCAGCATTCCCTATTCCAAGCAGACTTCCCTTTTAGAAGGTGAATGTGAGACCTGCTTGAGAACAGAGGCAAGAAAGAACACAAAACCTGATCCATCTGTAGCAAGAACATGACAGTTAATTGTATGCAACATGGAGGGCAAGTCTATCTGGAAATTGACCCATGTCTCTCAGGCCTCCCAGAACCTTCTTTAAAAGGACATGGGGACTTCTCTCTGATAAATTATCTTTTCCAAAACTTTGCTTGTAAAATATTTCATAGAAACCCAAATATGTGGATCTCAGTAATGTCAAATACATTTCCCTCATATCAGATCATCTTACAATATTTAACAGAGGCTATTCACATAAGATATTAGCCATATATGGTTTTTTAAAAATAATTTCAGGTATGAAATTTTTGTTTATTTCTTTGATATAATATTTAGATTTTACATATATGAATGAGCATACAATTGGAACCTTAAAAAGTACTTTTAAAATTGCTAAACGTGTTGTGCTTTTAGATTTTTTTTCTACCTGTATATATTTACAGTATATGTTACAAACTCAATAACCTCTCAGGAAATAAAATTTGTTGATGCTAGTCCATCTGAAATTCCTTTGTGAATTAACCATTGTGTTTTGTATTTTGGAGAACTGACATCTATATTTTTTAAAATCCACATTTTATTAATTTTGATGGACAAGATAAATACTACAGTTATACAAAATGTTAATTTCAGCCTGAGGATACTAAAATTTAACATGAATATAATGAATATAATGAGTAATCATATGTAATCCTGCCTCAATATTTTGAAGATCATTATTTTTCATTAGAAAAATACCTTGTAAAGAAATTAGCACATCTCTTTAGAGGGTATCTATCTTGGCTTTGGGCTGAGATTGCCTTTTGCAAAGCTCATTCATTTTTATTTACATTTCTTGTTTTATTTCAAATTCCCTAGTTGTTTCCTTTCACTTAAATATAGTGTTATACTCAATAAATCTAGGTAACCTTTGTCCTTTGGGGAAAATCAAGTCTTTTCAGTGACAGAGTCAAGCAATCCCATGAGTTTGCTTAAATTTGTAATTTCCACGAACATATGCCTATTTTCTAACTATACACAGCCTGATGAAGAGAAAAGGCCTAAGTTCTCAAATGGAAGTCCCTGTGAATTTGTGAAAGCATAAAACTGTCCCTTCTTCCTCATATAAGGTCTTATTTTATAAGAAACACTGGAAAGTAACCCCTGTGTAGTCACAATCTGAACACAAAAGTTTCAGGTAGAATAATATATAACCATTACAAGTAATTATGAAATAATGCTATAACATTGAACCATAATATTCAATTAAAAATCCTTTTTAGCAGACAAATACATCCCTAATTATTCCTACTTGGGAAAAAACTTTGGAAGAGCACTTCTCTGTTCAAGCATAATATACATTATATGTATATAATATATATATATATAAATATGTATTTTTGTACTTTGCTAGAATATAGATTACTATTTCAGAGTTGTATTATTATTTTCAGGTTCACAAATGCTTGTTTCCCTGTGTAGATGTTGAAATGAGCATGTCAATCATATTGTTACTAAATATGAGTGAATATTAAATCAAGATTTGTCCTACAATTTTTTCTCAATTATTATGAATATTTTTTCAAATTTTCAATTAATGAAAATTTATCATACACGAATGGTATCTCTGTTAACTTTTCTTTAAGAAAAGCAAATTACTCTTTTTCTTAATTTAATTAAATCATATTATACTATATTTTGTAACACCTATGTAGCATTGTGAAGTTATTTTTAGCTCACTTTCAATTCAGACCAACTAAAACTTGTAAATTCTCCATTTATTGCTACTAAAGATTCAATTAAGATGAAATATTAAAACTCTGGGATTTATTATACTGAGTATATCATCTACCCTTTGAAATTTGTGATATAATACTGGACATAGTTCATTTTCATAAATCAATGTTAACAAATTTGTTCACGTTTGTATAATATGTCTTCATAGCATAGTTCCTTTTGTGAAGATAATCTCTAAGGAAATCAAATGATTTTGTGGATTCAAATATCAGTGATTGGGCTGGGAAGGTGGCTCAGTGGTAGAGCACTTGCCTTGCATGCATGAGGCCCTGGGTTCGATTCCTCAGCACCACATAAGCAGAAAGAAAAAGCCGGAAGTGGCGCTGTGGCTCAGGTGGTAGAGCGCTGGCCTTGAGCTGAAGAGTTGAGGGACAGCACCCAGGCCCAGAGTTCAGGCCCCAAGACTGGACTCCAAATATATATATATAAAATCAGTGATTAGTTTCCCAGTTATAATCGTGTATGGCATTCTTGTTAACCCTGAGGTCTGGATTTTGGACCTACATGATACTGTAAAGAAATTGTTGCTTATCCCACTTTTGGGCATTTACCCAAATGTTCACAAACAAGACCATACTAAAGCTACAAGCACAACTATGTTTATTGCAGCATTATTTACTATGGCTAAGATATGGAACCAATCCAGATGCCCCTCAGTAGATGAATGGATCAAGAAAATGTGTATATATACACAATGGAATTCTATGCCTCCATCAGAAACAATAACATTGCCCCATTTGTTAGGAAATGGAAAGGCTTGGAAAAAAATATATTAAGTGAAGTAAGCCAGGCCCAAAGAAACATAGGTCCCACGGTTTCCTTATTTGCAATAACTAGTAAATGTCTGAGTCAAGCAGAAAAGGTCAGATAAGTTGATGAAAGAGAAATGAAACCTAACATATGTATTCAAATGTTTTTTTTACTTTCATGCGATTATTTCTAACACATTTATAAGATTATTTCTTTGTTGCTTTGTATGTCCCTCCCCCATAGTATAACCCCTGCTTTCACTGTATTTGATGTCGGTATAATTTGTGGAGGGGAAGGGGAAAACAAATCATTTAAATAGGGATACAGGTGGACCCATTGCAACAATGAGAAGTATAAGTCGTTACGTTGAAAATGAACTTTACAACTTTGGTGGGGGGTGGGGTGGGGGGAAGTCGGAGGATTGGGTGGGCAGGGGAGGATGGGAAGGAATGGGAAGGGGAAACAAAGGAGGAGGCTACAATGCTTGATAAGAAATGTACTCATTATCTTGCCCATGTAATTGTAACCCCTCTACTCAGTATTCTCACAATAAAAATAAAGAAATTGTTGCTTAACTGCATGAACTGCATTATGAAACTTTGAGTAACACTACTTGGAATTGACTTTGTTTTAGTTAAAATAGACAATACTGTAAATTGGAAGAAATCTAGGAAATAGTAACGCCATTTCCTCCTTTTCACTCATTGTTTCCTATAGCAAATCCACAAAAGCTGAAGATTTTTTTCCCCCTCCCTACAGGTCTGGGATGAAAATCTTGCAAAATCTGCTGAAGCTTGGGCTGCTACTTGCATTTGGGACCATGGACCCTCTTACTTGCTGAGATTTTTGGGCCAAAATCTGTCTGTGCGAACTGGAAGGTAGAGAGAAGTTTCACTGATGCAATTTCTCTACATGACCTTATTAATTAGGAACTTGAATGAAGAACTACACCAACTTTGAGTAATATCAGAAAGAATTTACTGAGTAATCACTGTGTATCAGGCATGGATGCTTGGCCTATGAACTTCTTGATGTCTTTAAGAATTATATCTTTGGTTAAAGGAGAACAATTTCCCCTTTCACCATTGGAGCACACTTCCCAAGGCTGTATTTGTCATAGCCCTCAAAGAATCAAAGAAAGGATGAAGCTGTATCCTATCTCCTCTCTGAGGATAAAGTTGCACGACTTTGTAAAAGCCACTTTGTGTGTGTGTGTGTGTGTGTGTGTGTGTGCACGCGCGCGTGTGTGCACATATGTATTTGTGTATATACTTTCGCATGGTTGTTATACCTGCATATATAAATTAGCAAATAGATAAAACTGAAAACATTTGCATTTACATATTGTTTTCATGGTGACACATTTATACAATAATAAATCAAAAATATATATAAGTATGTAGATATATATATATAGCTGTGTGTAAAGCTATTATTAATAGGATAAGTTTTTCTACTACTGAGGAATGTCATTATCTAACGTTCATTGACTTATCTTATATACATGAGAGGAAAATCAGTGGTCCCATCATTAAATTATGAGTTTCAGTTATTATTCAGGTTCAGATTTAAAGGATAAAGAGATGCATTACTTCATGTATCTAATTCCAGACTATTTATGAAATCGTGGTGAAGGAAAAGTTTGATGTGAATTAAATATGACTTTGGTGATTCCTGAAATATTTACATTTCCCATCAAAATAATCTGCCATATGGACAAATGTAATATCATTGATCATTTTCATGTTTTTCCCTATTTGGAGAAATATAAACTTCTACTAGGTGGTAGTAGTGATGATAAGTGATGATACTTAAGTTATAATGTAACATGAGCTCACTTTATATACTATGCTCTAAGGTCTTCTACTCTCTGTGTTCTCTTTTGATATCTAGATACCGCTCCATCCTTCAGTTGGTAAAGCCATGGTATGACGAAGTGAAAGATTATGCCTTTCCCTACCCTCAGGATTGCAACCCCAGGTGTCCCATGAGATGTTTTGGTCCTATGTGTACACATTATACACAGGTTATTTCAATTAATTTGCTAATTTTTGACTTGTCCTTACAAAATACTTTTATTTGGGTGAACATTCATTTTCTTAACAATATAAGAAAGTATTGGTTTATTTTCACAGATGGTTTGGGCCACTTCTAATCGGATAGGATGTGCAATCCATACTTGCCAAAACATGAATGTCTGGGGATCAGTATGGAGACGTGCAGTATACTTGGTGTGCAACTATGCCCCAAAGTAAGTATCAAGCTTGATGCTCCTTCCCAGATCCTGGAGTTTTGTTAAATCTCTCTGGTTTGATAGGCATATTAGACAGTTAAGCAAGTTAGCTACTGTAGCCTCTAATCTTGAACCTCACCATGCTTCCTACATTCCCTAGAGAATGATAAAGTGAAAAGTTTCACCAGGGCAGGGATTTTGGGTTAAAAATGGGAGCAAAATATTTTGAGACGCTGAAGCTCAATAAATTCTCCTTACCATATTTCTTCTATCATAGTGATTGTAAATATTGTACTTCTCAGACTATTAAGAACTATATAACAGGTATCAGAAAAGAATCTCCTAGGAAATTTATATGATATATCAATACCAGAATGTTGGGAATATTCTGATTTATCAGCAATAGAGTGTCCACTCAACATTTTTACTAGGAAAGCAAAATTTTTCCATCTCTTCTTTTTTAATTAAAAAATATTCAGTGAGACCCATATTGTCTCCATGAAATGTATCCTAAAACTTTATCAAAGATTATAGAATATGCTCATATTTAGGATCATTTCATAATATAAAGATCAACACACACTTGCCAACATTTGACAAAATGTCTTCTTGATAATAATAACGTTTTAGATGAGAAAATGCTCTAATATTTATACAGAGTTCTGTTCCATTTGGAATAAATACTAAAATTTGCAAAGGATTTATGATACTCCTCATGTCTTCCAAAGTAACTCCTAGACGAAGATTTTCTCCACCTATTCCAGTGGGGGTGAGAGGGGATGAGGGAGGGTAACAATGTGTTATGATCAACTGCATTACTCATTGATATGGTTGTGTGCCAGGGCAGTAATTTATAACATTAGAAAAACAATGATTTTCCCTATGGTCCTCTCTTCATCATTATTAGGTGGAAAATAGGATCTCTGCACTATTTTTAAAGCACTTAAAAAAGATGTTTGCATTTGTTTTATAGTTTTAGCTCCACACTTTTTATTAAGCCTTTATCAATTCTCCCTGATATAAATCTGGCAGATAGTAACCAAGTGGTCAAAGAGATGTTTTGCTTCAATTTTTGCATCTTAGTTTTCCATTTGGGGCCAATGAATTCGAATTCTGTAAAGTCACTGATGTGGTATGTTATTTCTTTATAGGTCCAAGAAATTAAAATATTGCATTAACAGAATAATTTCAGTTTTAATAAAAGTGTTTTCTGGACTCTAGATGATGAAGAGTATTTAAATCTTGACTGATAGGAAAATAGAACTTTTCCAGTGTCAATACAGAATTATCTCTAGTTTGCTTTTCAGTGTGAGAAAAAGGAGAGGGAGAAAGGGAAAAGAAAGGGAGAGCAAAAATGTAGTTAGATGGAACAGAATAAGAAATAATAGAATGAGTAATATAGGAATTACTTGATTTACTATTAAATACCATTATCCCATATTCAATAATTGTGATTTATATCAATGTTCATAATCTCGAATTTGGATATAATAAAATTCTACTTCTAAATTTTGTTGACAAAAATATGTTATGCAATTTCTAAAATAGAAACTCGATAAAATTTAGATAGCATAGCCTGGGTTCATATACTTTCATAGCTTTAAGTAACTACATAGAGGGAAATAAAATTATTAACACAGACAGGAAAAGAGAGGGATGAAATTGTGAAATACAGTCATAATAAAATGGCATTGGCTATTTCTAGAGAAGCATAGGATATTATCAAAATTTTGCTGACATTTTCTTATCGCCAAGGCAGAATATGTCATAAAATTAAGTGAAGATGAACAATCATAGAACTCCATTGCACTTAGTAATATGAAAAGTTAATCAGCATAGGCCAATGCCCATGAATATAAAAATATCTGAATATTTTTTGTTTTTGCTAAATACTGTCATATTCTATAGATATGCTTTATAATCACTTCTGAGTCTTACTTAGTTTTAAGGAAAATGATAACTTGCTTCACAGTTTACCCTTTTTCTTTTTTTTCAAAATCTATTAGATTTATTTATTTTTAAAAATTTATTGTAAAGTTAATTAACAGGGGGGGTCAAAGTCCCATAAGTAAGATAATGAGTACATTTCTTTCTAAACACTGTTACCCCTCCCTTATTTTCTCCTGCTTACCCTCCCCACTCTCCTCCCCCCAAGTTGTAAAGTTCATTTCTAACATAATGTCTAGTGAATATCTTTGTTGCATGAGTTCATCCTTTGTCCTGCTGTTTCTGAGAATTACTTTCCCTTTCATGGATCAGATAAGATTATATACAAGCTTATATACAAAGCTTGTATACAACTAAAACAGAAAGAAAAAATAGAAATAACTGTATACGGGACATAATAAGTACCTCTTGTTTCCAATTCTTGGAGTTCATTTTGATATGCTTCATTTTATATGGTTCTATACACTTAGCAATTGGGCTATTGTGATCCCCTGCTAAGAATATCATAGACATATTCTAGTTATTGCAAATGAAAGAAACGAAGAAATCTATATTAAGTATCTTTGGGCCTGGTTTGCTTCACTTAATGTAATTTTTCCCAGGTCTTCCCATTTTCTTACAAATGGGGCAATGTCATTCTTTCTGATGGAAGCATAGAACTCCATTGTGTATATATACCACATCTTCTTGATCCATTCATCTACTGAGGGGCATTTGGGTTGGTTCCATAGCTATGGTAAATGATGCTACAATGAACCTACTTGTGGTGGTAGTTTCAGATGGCCTTGTTTGTGATCATTTGGGTAAATGCCTAGCAGTGGGATTGCTGGGTCATAGGGAAGTTCTATGTTAGTTTTGTGAGGAACTTCCATACTGCTTTCCAGAGTGTTTGAACAAATTTACACTCCCACCAACAATGTAGTAGTGTTCTGTTTTGGCCACATTCCCTCCAGCATCTGTTACTAGATTTCTTGATAATGGCCATTCTAACTGGAGTAAGGTGGAATCTCTTGATTCTGGCCGTTTTTTTTAGACATCATCTTATATTGTCATATGTACATAGCTTTTGACCTTTTCTACTTGCCCTTCACATGTACTAGTTATTGCAAATAAGGGAAACCATGGGACTTACGTTTCTTTGGGCCCGGCTTACTTCACTTAATATAATTTTTCCAAGGCTTTCCATTTCCTAACAAATGGGGTGATGTCATTCTTTCTAATGGAAGCATAGAATTCATATTATATATATACATATATATATATCACATTTTCTTGATCCATTCATCTACTGAGGGGCATCCGGGTTGGTTCCATATCTTAGCTATGGTGAATAATGCTACAATAAACATAGTGGTGCTGGTAAGTTTAGTATGGCTTTGTTTGTGATTGTTTGGGTAGATGCCCAAAAGTGGGATTGCTGGGTCATAGGGGAGATTTATATGCAGTCTTTTGAGGCACTTCCATACTGCTTTCCAAAGTGGTTGAACAACTTTACACTCCCATCAACAATGCAGTAGAGTTCCCTTCTGTCCACATCCCCTCCAGCATCTGTTGTTATTAGAGTTCTTGATTATAGCCATTCTAACTGGGGTGAGGGGGAATCTCAATTTTGTTTTGATTTACATTTCTTTTATGGCTAGAGAGGTTGAGCATTTCTTCATGTGTCTGTTGGCCATTCAATAAATGATGCTGGCAAAATTGGTTAATCATAGAAAACTAAAGCTAAATCCTTATATATCACCCTGCACCAGAATCAACTCCAAATGGTTCGAAGACCTCGAAGTCAAAGCAGACACTCTGAAAACATTACAGGACGGAATAGGAGAAACCCTAGGGCTCCTTGGCACAGGCCAAATTTTTTTTTGTCGGTTGTGGAGCTTGAACTCTGGGCCTGGGTGCTGTCCCTCAGCTTTTCAGCTCGAGGCTAGCACTGTACTGCTTGAGCCACAGCACCACTTCCAGCTTTTTCTGCTTATGTGGTTCTGAGGAATTCTGAGGGCCTCATGCATGCAAGGCAAGCACTCTACCACTGAGCCACCTTCACAGCCCCCGAAATTTTCTTAATAGAGACCCAGAAATACAACAAATCAAAGAAAGGTTGGACAAATGGGATTGCATGAAGCTGCAGAGCTCCTGCATGGCAAAGGACATAGCTAGCAAGATCAATAGAAAGCCCACAGATTGGGAGAAGATCTTCACTAGCCATACAACGGACAAGGGTCTCATATCTAAAGTATACCTGGAACTCAAAAAATTAAATCCCCCAACAACAAATCCTCAAAAAAAAAAAAAAACAAAACTGCCCGACGAATAAGTGGACTAACGACTTAAAGAGAAACTTCTCTGAAGAGGAAATAAGATTCTGGCCTTTTATCTTAAATTTTCCTCACCTTGCTTTCCCAAATCTTGTTTCTTTGTATTTTAATTATTAGAAATCATGCTACTGAAATGTATTTATTACTATCTCCTTCTGAATTAAGAAATCCCAATGACAATCAGATATTGCAGGCTTTTTGAAGTATCTTAAATGGTGTATGTGGCTCATTATTACAATTATGACAATCAGTACAATGACAGAAAAAAATACTAGCAAAACAAAGTAGTTTAATTGAAAACATTCAGTGTTATTAAAGCTACCAAAATTTAGTAGACATGAATTTATATGTGGAAAAGGTTTGGAATCATTATTTGAGCCATTATTCTCTTATAATAAGAATAATTTTCCCTGGATCCTTATTTTTATAAAGGCTGGAATCTAAAATATTTTACAACATTGGAAACACATTTTATGAACATTTATAGCCTATTTATTGGGTATAAGATGTCTTCTTAGTTATTTCTCAGTTTCCAGCCTTCCAGCAAATGCTTAGTATTTCTTGACCATCCTTAGAGAACATTAGAATGGTTTTCGTAGGAGTAAATTTAAGTGGCTTGACCTTGTGCTCTAGGCTGTGAGAGACAGGACAGATGTGAATAGAATAACCCTAATGTTCATCATGCTTGGTGTGACCTCAATGAGTATCTATAAATTATTTAGACATTCTTAACATACTGAAAGAGGTAGTATTTGAAAATAAAAAATAGAATAAGTTAATGCGGGAATAAAAACTATATGTCACTTTCAGTGTGTTTTAAATTTCTTAAAACAATTGTCATGTCAACACATGGGAATATTCACTTGAGGACAATCTAATATTTGTAAATGGGTGAGGGGCACTAATGCCAGTTTCCTCTTTTCTCTCCTAGAGGCAATTGGATTGGAGAAGCACCATATAAAGTGGGAGTGCCATGTTCATCTTGTCCACCCAGCTATGGGGGAACCTGTACTGACAATATGTGCTTTCCAGGAGTAACGACAAACTACCTGTACTGGTTTAAATAAGCTTATCCTTTTCTCCAGAAACCTACCATGTTGCTGAGAATCATAGGCCTCTCTATCTATCTATCTATATCTATATATGTTGAATTTTGCACATTTTATACATATTTTGTGGTAATCTTATTCTCATTTTAGTCTTCATTTGTACAGTGTTTGTCTAGTAATGTTGTTTAATCTTTGGACACAATCTAAATGACCATCTGTATTTTCTGGTCTTTAAGTCCAAATTAAACAATGTTTATGTAATGATGGCATAGCAGATACAACTAACTACAAAAATTTCATTGCAGGATAATTCCATTACTATGTTCCTAAGGAATAAAAGATATGCTTAACCTGTAATGTGTGCACACACATATATACATATATCATATGTTACATGATACACATGTGTATATGTATGTACACACATAAAATATGTGACACATCACATAGATAATAATATGATTCTGTACTTTAATTGAAGGACATTTAAAAATATTCCAAAATGTACTTGGCAGTGGGACAGCTTCAGTACCATTTCTACAATACAGACAAAATGATAGTTTGCAAAGTAACACTTAAAGAGCTTCACTTAAGAATAATGAATATTATTTTGGAGATATTTTATTTTTGTTTTTGGTCTACTCAAATATATGCTCAATTTATGTAAGTTTCTGGATCATGCCAGCTGTTATTCAGTTTCTTTATAAGAAATCAGTAGTCATGTGTTGAGTGTTTGAGACATGCAAGGCCCTTGGTTACATTGATAATTGCAAGGTATAGAAACTATGGTTCTTGCCCTTAGAAAGCTTACAAAAATATTTAGGAAATAATTTGAACCAGAGATCTTGCTACAATTTTTTTCTTATTAGTTCCCACTTTATTAAGATAAGAGATATTGGCCAGAACATTTGGTAAGCTCTTTAATGCATAGATTTTATGTCTTATTTTAAGTTTTATAACTACAGGGGCAGCCACTACAGCTGAACAGATGATGTATCAGTGCAAATTGTTTTCTTCCATTAAATCAGTTTTGGCCTGTAAGATTCTGGATACCAATAGAGAAGGTACAACTTAGTAATAAGATGAAAAGTGTAAAAAAAGTTTTTACCCTTCAGTTTGAGTAACAAAATTGATTTTTAATATTTAATTTTTCATGTGGTTTTGAGGGAACAAACAACAGCATTCAATTGCAGATGGAATCAGAATAAGCTATGCCATCTAGTATGTAAATATAATTTTCTGGAAAATGTACCTATAATACTTGGAATAACAAAGGGAAGGGGATAATTAACCATTGGGTAGACTTTTCTAGAGAAGAATAAAAAAGATCAAGTTAAGGACTTCAGAAGAGCACAGGTGTGTTGTGGGTCTACTACGTGTTAAGGCCCTTTGGTAACAGTTGAAGGAGTTCAGAAAGATATGTGTGGAGTGTTAAGGGCATTTTACCTGTTTTGCTTGTCATTATTTAAGGAAAATTTTCCACCTATTATTTGGTGCTTTGAGGATCACATTAAAGATCTTCATGCATATTATACTGTCACAATTTTGTTAATATAATCCTCTTTGGATATTTTTCTAAGGACTATTATCAAACTTTATTTTATTTTTCTATAGAGAAAAAAATGTTCAGTTCCTTATTAACTTTGATTATAAAAAATCATTATGAAAATCTCCCTCTTGTGATATAGAAATCATTTAGGAAATCTTTATCAGAGAGGAAAATATAACATTTGAGTCAAGACACTGAACCCATTATAGTTCAAATCTGTATGCGTTTTATTCAGGTTGTATACTGCTTTCATAAGTTTGGATAGGTAATAAATATTTACCCTGGAGAGTGCAAATAGCCGAAGGATGCTTACATATTTGCAGTTTCTAGGGTCAAGGCATTGAATGACGAATAGTTAAATAGATACACTCAATGAGAGACGATCCATCATCTGGAAACTTGAGTCTAACTCATGCCAAACAACTCACCCAATTACTTTAAAAAGAGAATATGGTAACCAATGTGTTGCTATCATACTATTCTGCCTTTGTGAACACACATATTACCATGTTAAAAATACATATTTTGGGTAATGAAATGGAGAACAGAAGTAATTATATGATTTAGGCTTTATCAGATTTCATCTAAGATAACTATGCAATTGGAAAGAAAGCCCATTAGTAGAATATTGGTTGATTTATCTAGACAGTGCTTCCACTTCAATATCATGATTGTATTCTACAAAATCTTCAGAAAAGACTTTTAAACACAAGGTGCTTGTTTGCAGCTCCAGTTCTCTTGTTGCTTAAGTAGCTTTTATTTTCAGTTTTAAAGAATGATTTTGATATATGATCTGGGCTTTATGGCAGTAAGTATGATATCAAATTTACCATGTCAATAGAAATTTATGAAAAATATAGTTTATAGACCTCCTTATTAACAGAAACTTTGTCTATTAACAGAAACAGAATCATTGTATATAACCCACCAATATTTCATAGTGGTTGGAATGTAATAAGGATTTAGTAAATGCTTACTTAAATGGATGTTTTGAATTAGCTAGAAAGTCTAAATGTGCAGTATTGAAACAAATCTCACCTTTACATCCCCTTTTCTAAAGAAAAGATGAAAATATTTTAAGGGTAAACCTTTGAATGTAATTTTAAAAAAAGGCCAGATACAGATACATTACCAAACATTTGATTACATTTTCACAATTCTTTCCAAACAATAACTCGAGCCATAAGTATTTACAGTTTAACAACTAATCTGAAAACAATGGGTATATTTGCTGTTGTGTCTGTACTTTTAAAAATTGTAGTATAGCCAGGAGCCGGAGGCCCACACCTGTAATCCTAGCTACTCAGGAGGCTGAGAGCTGAGATTCGCGGTTCAAAGCCAGCCCGGGCAGGAAAGTCCATGAGACTCTTATCTCCAATAAACCACTAGAAAACCGGAAGTGGAGCTGTGGCTCAGGCGGTAGAGTGCTCACCTTGAGCTGAAGAGCTGAGGGACAGTGCCCAGGCCCAGAGTTCAAGCCTCATTTCCGCCCCCCCCACACCCCCCCTCTGCCAAAAAAAATGTAGTATAAAATGATCATGTGAAACATTTTAATTGCTACACTAAAGCAAATGAATATTTGCTAATATCAACATAGTGTTCCATATTTTCACAGCCCCCAACAATAGCACTAGAATGGCCCTTTGGCACTTCTCAGAGGAAGAAAGGGTCCTGCCTATTCTTACTTCATAAGGGCAGCTTGACATTGTCAGGATTGAAGTTTTAATTTGGAAAAGTTTCATTCAAAGGAAATTGTGGTTGGCCCCTATGTTTTATAACACTGATTTTTTTCAAATCTTATAACATCTTCTTTTGGGTAGAAAAATAAAAATTTTCAGTTACTCTATAGGGCTTTATGGTCTCCATATCATAAAAAAGACTGGAAATCTGCCACCATCACCTTGATGAATTTTCGCTACAAAATTGATGGCTTCTTTCTAAAATTATGTAGGGATAGTGTTGATATTCCTGGTTATGATAGATAAGCTCGCTTTGAAAATGTAGAAGAAATAATATTAGTACTATATTATTTTTGCTTAGTAGTCTAAGCATCATCACGTCAGTAACCCAGCAAAGCTGCCCATGAACTTCCTTGGGCAGTACCTTGAATTTCACTTGAAATATTCATGGAGATATACATTCTACACAGTTTTAGCACAGAGATGACCAAATTGGGGACGAGAGTCTAAGAAGAGGGAGTAGGTTCGACCAACACAATTGCTGAGAATTCTTAAATGGAAACAATATATATTTTCCCCATTTATGTGTTCTTATATTAAATCAACTTATGATAGCTAAGTAGTAAACCTAATACACATTTGTGTAGTTGAACTATTTTAGATTCATACTTTACTAATTGAATAAATGCACACAGTAAGCAGATAAATTGAATATTTCCATAAAGCCAAGGATATAATGAGCTCTTGGTATATGTGTCCTTTCACCATGAAACAACATACCTTAGGTTCCCTGATATCATAGGATGCACATAATGATATAGATTCAAGTCTTTACCTACTGAAGTAGTTAGGGAGAGTAAAGTTACAGTTCTATTCATATTTAACATTGTCTTCTTCTTAGATGGGATTTTCTTCTGTTATATGTGTGATGAACATTTAAACACATGCAAAGTGATTTTTTTAAAGATCATATCATGGTCTAACCTTGGATTATAAAAAGTTAATAAAAATTAGATATTTTAGCAGTTCACTGGCTACTGGTGCTGAGAACATATTACAATGACCATATCTCATTAGAATTTTGAGATTTCTATGTAATTAAAGTTATTTTAAATATAAACTATGAATATCTATTTTGGTGCTAAATATACGGTGCTAAATGAATTGTTAGTGTTGATGGCCTTGTAATGTTTCTTTAAATCATTCAATTCTTGATTCAGAAATATTAATAAAAGTCTTAATAAATCCTCCATGATATAAGCCAGGTAAATCTTTTTTTTCTTGAATGCTTATAGCAGAATGCAAATATATATAATTATCACTCTTCAATTTTCTTAAGTCTTTATTTTTCAGCTTGGTGAAATCCAAATTCAAATATCATCTGAAGGTTAGATTTTACCTATATTAACCATGCTGCAGGCCCTGGCGCCCTCTGGTGTCTGTAAAAACAAATTCCTATTGGCTACTTGGCCTTGAGCAAAATAAAAACTTAGGATGCACAATATTGGAGTTCTCTAGTACTCCTTAAATCTGAAAGCATTTAAAAAATGCTTGACCATACTAATATTCTTTTCTACAAGGATTAGCAAGAGTTAGTATATCCTGAACCACTGTCATAAATAGTACTATTTTTGCATGATTTTCAGTTCTAAGGTGCTTATGAAAGTGTTTTTTCTTTCTTTAAACCAAGTATTAATAAGATATACTTTATTTGGATTACATTACATGTGCAATTATAACTGAAATGAACAAAATTAATTATAATTGTACCTCAATGTCAAGAATAATAATTTATTTTTATTTAGTGCATAAAATAAAAAGGGGAGTAAAATAGTAAC